GTGGCCGCGGGGGCAGGGAGTCAGCAGGGCATGTGGCAGGCATCCACGGGGACCTGGCTGCCCCCCGTGGGGCAGGAGGGCAGGGGGTGTGGCCACGGGGCCAGGGAGTCAGCAGGGCATGTGGCAGGCACCCACGGGGACACGGCTGGCACCCACTGGGCAGGAGGGCAGGGGGTGTGGCCACGGGGCCACGGAGTCAGCAGGGCATGTGGCAGGCACCCACGGGGACACGGCTGGCACCCACTGGGCAGGAGGGCAGGGGGTGTGGCCACGGGGCCACGGAGTCAGCAGGGCATGTGGCAGGCACCCACGGGGACACGGCTGGCACCCACTGGGCAGGAGGGCAGGGGGTGTGGCCACGGGGCCACGGAGTCAGCAGGGCATGTGGCAGGCACCCACGGGGACACGGCTGGCACCCACTGGGCAGGAGGGCAGGGGGTGTGGCCAAGGGCCACGGGCAAAGCACCAGCTTGTGGGCTCTGCCTGCTCACCTTGGCCAGGAGCCCTTCCTGGTCCGTCCTGACCCCGAAGCGCGGGATGCTGGCGCTGGCGAAGCTGGAGCTGTGCGTTAGCTTCTTCACGCCGGTGATCTGCACCATGGGGAGCTGCTGCTCCTCTGCATCCTCCTCCTGGGGCGGCGGGGAGGGAATATCCACCTCATGCTGCTTGTCTGGGGGCGAGAACACGCAGAGCGTGGTGGGTGAGCCGGGCACGTCCCTCCCCACTGCCCAGCCCTCGCCCTCTGGGAGCGGGGACGCTGCCCGGGCCTGGACCCGGTGACCGTTCCGGCCCTTGCTCTCTCCCCTGCTTCCTGGAGCAACCGCGAGCCAAAAGGCTGAGAGCCAGCGGGCACCGGCCTGGTCAGAGCCCTCAACGGCCCCCTGCCTCAGAGCCTTGGGCAGAACAGCGTGACACCGGCAGATTGCCAGCCCGGGGCTGGGTCGGCACCGGCACCTGGACAGGGGAAAGCCCCTGACCCTGCGCCCCAGGCAGCCAAGGAGGGAGCAGGGAG